TATCCTCTATGGTAGTGGTTCTCAACTGGGGTAAGAATCAATAGGGGGCATTTGGCAATGTCTGGGGACATTTTTGGCTGTCACGACTGGGGGAGCAGTGCTACTGTCTTCTCATGAGTAGAGGCCAGGAATTCTGCTAAATATCCTACAATGGACAGGACAGCTTCCCACAACAAAGAATTGTCTGGCCCTGCTCCACAGGATACAACCTGACACAAACTATCAAAGAAAAGATAGGAGTTTCCTGTCTCGTTTCTAAGTGTCTTGATAAAAATAACAAACCACTGACCATATGGCTAATCAAAATAGAATCTCCGCTTTTGTCCCTACAATTTAGATTTAACTTTATCACTAACCCTGCTCAAAAGCACTGCATTAGTTCAAGTTTAGTTCAAACGTTGTTCAAGCTTAACCTTAGAGAATTCAAAAACAAACATAGTAACCGGACTGCAAAGTATGGTCCACCATCAACCAAGAAAAGTACAAACAGCTGGAGAACAGCCTCGTGAAGATAACAGTTTTCCTCTTTAAATTGTTTTTAAGTCACTTTCAAATCACGAATAATAAAAAGTATTTTTAATATTCTTTCAAGGAAAGAAAAACTTCTTCCATTTTATATACTGGTTCATCTTATACAACCAGAACATAGTATTCAGATTTGAGTTTTAGAAATCTGGACACAAAGTGGAGAAATATATTCTATCTCGGTCACACCTAACTTAGTAACTCATCAAGTAATCTTACACTAACAGAAATATTAATGTATGATTACTTGTTTCAACCTATGTTTATAGGTACCTTACATGGTTAATACCACAAGATATAGATATTCACATATATACCTAATGTGACTTGTGAAGAACAATTGCTTTTCACTTCTTCCCAATCTTCTTAGGTATTTTCTTTACAAATCCAAATTGCATGAAACTTACAATAGTTGGTAAGTGAGACGTTTAAATCCCCACCCTATAATTGTTTTTCTAGGTTATTAGGAAGTTGCTGATCAAAGCATCAAAACTAACTCACAATATTATTTCACAAACCTCAGGCTGACTAGGAGGTAACTTCATTTAAAAGTTAATGGAGTTTCAATCTTGCTGTCATTAATTTAGTCAAATATACCCAGGGAAAAATGAGCAGCTCAGTGTTCATTATATTACAACTCAGAGGGCTAAAATCTTTCTAAAACTAGAAATACAAATTTATTTCATATCTGTAGCAGCAATTTTGAGGACTAAATTTATAATCAAATCTTGTGATTGAACATCTTTTACTAATCAAAAGACAACCTATAATAGTGGTTTGAGCCACATTCAAATTTTGCTTCCCAAAAGTACAAATAGAAAAGATCTCTATTTCGCCCCCACAGAGAACTACGAAGGACATAAAAGCTTCCCTTAACAAACATTACTCAAAAACTAAGAGATCAACCATAGCAGAAATCCTTACTTGAACAAACAACGGAGACAGCAGTAGAGAACAAACAGCTAAAAGCTATTGTGGAGCTCAACACACAACCAATAGCTTTCAGCTTATATAAACTTGGGTTTTTAAATCATGGATACGGGATCAACCTGCAAACTGCATGAAAAGACTTCTGCTTGTCAAGGTGAAGTTACCTCTGAAACACTTTCTAAAGCATAGTGGAACGGATAGTTAAGAATGCAAACAAATCTCTATTTAACATTTATATGAACACAAAAGGAAAAGTTGTTGCATTTTATTTTCCCAATTTTTTTAAGTGAAAATTATTTTCCATTCAAATACTACTCATCCTAACATATATATATATAACCAAACCAAACCTGTTGCCATCAAGCCAATTCCAACTCATAGCAACCGTATAGGACAGAGTAGAAGTGTCCCATATGGTAAGGTGTATAATTTTTGTCTTTAGGCTGAAATGCTTTTCATGGGAACACATCTTCAATTCTTTAACTCAATGAAAAAACTTTGATCTAGGTAGGAGAAAATCACTATATAACTAACTTTTTGATCTGTAATTCACTGCTTAAACAAATCCAAAGTGTTTTTCAAAGATATTTGTATGATCTTTACTTATAAAGAACACCATATTAATAAAAAAAAAAACATGAAAAATATTTTACCAAGGTTGTCTCATACTTCTACTTTATTATAATTAATCTTTTTCTAACTCACAATGCATTATTATAACTGTAATACAAGCAAATTCTTAAGTAATTATTTAAGAATCAGTAAAATTCCTCCTACTAAGGGATAAAATGTGTGAATAATTTTAATGCAAAATTGGCTGTCTTCATTTCACTGGAGATAGAATAAGAAAAGGGGTCATCTCAAAATAAATATTAGAAAATACTTTTGAAAAATAAAAATAGAGATTTTCTTATTTTAGTTTCAAAAAAAAAAAAGCAGGCTAATTGATGTCTCAAGCTTAACATTGACTTTCATTAGTGATAATCAAAATTATCAAATGTACTATCCCAAGGGGGGAAACACCATAATAATAGTTGCAGGTTATTAACTTTGAAATAATTGTTTATTTTATTTACAAACTAACCAAAAAAAAAAAAAAACCTTCATTGCCGTTGAGTCAATTTTGACTCATAGTGACTCTATAGGACAGAGTAGAACTGCCCCACAGGGCTTCCAAGGAGCAGCTGGTGGATTCGAACTGTCGACCTTTTGGTTAGTAGCCAAGCTCTTAACCATTGTGTCACCAGGGCCCCTTACAAACTAAAGCAGGAGTTAATTTCATCTAATCAAAGCAGTATACATTAATTGTACCTATCCTCCATGATACAGGCAGGTTGGGGAAAAAAAGAAAATGCCAAGTCTGTACTGAAGAAATAATAATGTTGGAATACCATCTATGTGTGAGATACCTTCTCACACATTATACAATTTATAAATATACATATGTGTTTCATTTATTACATACCACCAGTAGATAGGTGCTTAACACATGCATTTTATGGTAGCATTGTAGTTACAGATAATGTGGTCAACTTCAGCAGACAACATCTATGTTACACATATGGCCATCTAAATAATTGTGGCATGCTTTTGAGACACTGAAAGAGGCAAGCCTGTTGTGAAGTGATTATCTCCAACAAAAGCCCACTTAAATTATTGTTCATCTATATGGCATATACCCAAAATAACTAATATTATAAAGTTACTATTGTCTTTGAATCACTTACTGATTTTCAACCTATTTGTAAAACAAGATAAGCACCACTGAGTTTTAAAAAGTAATTATGGATCAGGATTTTTGATTCATGTTTCTCTGACAAAATTATTCCACTTGATCCCAAGTCTTGGCTGCTGTCTTGACAGAATAATGTACACAGTCCACAGGTAACAGGGGCACAGCTTTCATGATTAAGTAGGAAGCTCACACTCCAGATGACTTTAGACTTTGCACTCCAGAAAGATTTCTTTGTTGTTTTAGTAACAGATCATCAGTTATGTTCTTCCAACTAACATTTCTGTCCCCAAACAAAAAAAAATAAATCTATGCATTATCAAGAATTTTGGAGGTTTTTGTGATTTTTGCCTATTTTATTCACACAGTCCACCAAAGAATGTTAGTTCATTTTGAAAAGTAAGTTCTTCTCCTAATTTCATTTTTTGAGGGATGTTTTCTTTTGGAATATTAAAAAAAAAAAAAACTGAAAATATAATATAAACACCCTCAACCAAGAATCTCTTAATATTTTTGGCCATGAAAGGAAACACCAAATGAGACTCTGATTTACTTTTGTTTATTATAGTAACTGAGGAAACACTATTCAAAACAATTTTCCTAAAGAAAGTGTTAATCTTGTAGCTATAATTGATCATTTTTGCCCCTTACTCCCTGGAAGAGAATTGCACCTCTGAAACTAGAATTCTGAACACCAATAATGGCAATATCAAAGCTAACGCATTTAGCCAGGAACAGTAACTCTAGTGCGCATAAAGCTACGTAAAGTGGTATTTATTCACTGATTCATACAGGGAAATACCCAGGGCCTACTCCATTAGGATTAACTTCAGAAATGACAAGACTAGGAGAGGATACTCAGCAGCCTGAACTTGACTTCCCAGTTGATCACCTCTATTAGACGGGGGCAGTTTTCCTCCAGACTCAGCTGCTTAGTTATCTAAAATGCCTTAGTGGTTTAAAACTGAAGGAGAACGGGAAACACAAAAACAAAAAGGTTCCGATCACCTCTGGGGTAGCTACGTTGTTGCAAAAGAAAAAGGAGAGCTCAGGCGCATCTGTCAGGTTGTCAGCAATAAAACGTTTAAGTACTTATCAAAATTAAGGAAGTGGATCTCTGCAAGCTCCTACAGCCTTCTTGTTTGGGTTCTCTAGGTTAATAGTAGTAATTGTATTCTAATGACCGACAAAAAGGAACAAGGTTCTTCCTGAGTCACTTTGAGAGATGTATACTTAATGTGGGGATAAAACCAGTTGCCTTATCGAAACGGAAATTATTTTCAGCCCAAACGTAGCATTACTCAACTACAAACCCAGGCAACACAATCACAACCACCCAATAAATGTGTTTCAGTGAGTGAACTAGTTTACTTCCCAAGGGCACCATTAAGAAAAAAACCTTCAACAAAGCCGAGGCCAATCATGCCTTCAACAGGGGGTGAGGTAAAACATATATACAATTCTGCACCTATTTGGGAGATGGGGGGGGGGCGGGGCGGGGAGGTTAGATGCTTTTGGAGGAAGGCGGTGTTGGAAAGAGTTTTGGTCTCCGTTGCCGCGCCTTGGGGCTTGCAGCCGATTGTTGGTGCGTCAAGGAACCTTTGAAACGTCAAACTTTCCTTTATGAAGGAACTCAAAGTTAACCGGCTCTGACACCTCCACTCGCTATCTGAGCGCAGGGGTCAGCTACCTCTCTTTCCTACCTCAGAGACGTAGCCGCCGGCCCTGTCCCGTGACAGCCCTCAGACAAAGCCGCGGACCCATGAGATCGGCCGGCTGCCCACCCCGGAACGCGCCCTCGGCCACTGCCTACCTTGATGCCCTGCTGCTGGGTGGTGAGGGTTAACTTGGATTCATCCAGTAGCAAAACTTCGCAGTAAAATTCTTCCGGAACAGCGCAGAAACAGCCCATGTCTGCTGTGGCCGTCTCCAGCCAGGCGAGAAAGCTGAGACCGAGGCGCCGAGCCGCCCCCTGTCCTCAAGCGCGAGGCATTAATTTATTGTCCGCGCCGTGGCGAGGGCGAGAGGAGCAGCTCCTGGCGAGGTCCGGGGCCGCGCGGCCGAGCCTCCCCGGAGCGGGAGGAAGACAAGGAGGGGAAGACGCCTGGGGGAGTCAGCGCCTGGGAGCCGCCGGGGAAGCGCCGGCGGAATTGGGCACGGAGGGCAGCGGCGCGTCCCCGCACATCCTGCAGCTCGGGTTCTTTCAAAGGTGGGGGCGTTGCGGCCCCTCCCGCAGTCCTGTGGAAGACAAAAGTCGCCGGGCAATGGGGGCAAAAAGCAAAAATAGGGAGGGAGGGAAGCTCGAGGCCCTCTCGGGACTTGGAAGCCCCTCGGAGCTCCTCAGTCCCCTCCTCCAGCGCCCGCCTGGAGTGTGGCCGTGGGGCACTCGCCTCCTCTCAGCTTTCCGAGTCCCCAGCGGGCGCGCACTTCCAGCTCCGACCCCGCCCCGCAGCCCCAGGCCGGGTCCACGGAATGGGGAGGGGTCGGCTTTTCTTTTGTGTCAAGGGTACCCGCGACGCCCCAGCCAGAGACAGTGGCGTGAGTCGTCACCCAGTCCGCTATCACCCCCCCGCCCCCCGCAACCTGCTGGCACCAAGAAGCCGGAGGAAGGTTGGAAAGGGCAACGTGCTCCTTACTGAGACTGGCGAGGGGAAGTCAGCTCGTCACGGGGTGCAGCTCCCGTCTAGGGGCCCTCAACCTCATCGCGGGTGGCTGTGAGTGGCCAAGTTCAAGCTCTCCCTCGGAGAAAGCCTTGCTGCGGCGGCAGAATGCTGTTTCTCCAGGAAATTCAGAGAAGCAGCGAGTGGGAGGACCTGCCTGCGTGTGGAGAAGCGGGCGCCGGGGCTGGGAACGCTGCTGGCGGGGTGCGCCCAGGGTGCGCCAGGCCGTGGCGGCTCCGGGGAAAGTTCTCTCGGTGGCGCGAGGGGTGGCGCCCCGGCGGGGGGAAGCAGCCCAGGGGCGCCTGGGCAGGGCCCGGGCGTCTGCAAAAAGCCCTGGAGGGAAGCTGGAGCCCAGCAGTCGGGGAGGGGGCGCCCTTCTGGGCGGGGTCTCGGCTGGGGGCGGAGGGCGGAGCGGAGGTGGTCCAAATGGCGAGGTGAGGGCAGGTCGGTGCGAGAACTAGGGTGCTGCGCTCGAGTCGCGAGACTGTCCCGGGCTGTGGCCCTGTTCGCTGTGTAGGTATCCCGGGGAGACCAGAGGCTGGCTCTGCGAGGGCAGGGCGCAGTTATAGTCGGACCCTGGTGTTCGGCGCTCACAGCCCCACGCCCTCCGCGCGGCCGATCGCGTCCAGGACCGGCGGGCACAATTGCTCTGAGGCTGCAGTGACCCCTAGTGGGTCCTCGTGTCCGTGCACAGGCAGCCGAGACCGAGCTGCGGAAAAGGCAGAGCCCGGGCCGGCTGGCCTTCGGAGCAGGTGCAATCCGGGTGTCCAGCTGAGAACCAGCAGGGAGTTAATGCAGAGTAGCAGAGCAGACACAAGGGAAGGACGCAGGGCAGGGTTGAGGGTACATCTCCCAGAAGACTTCTCTACTATATATTATTAGAAAAAGCAAGAGTTTTAATATCAGACATGGTTTTGAGTTCCCTCTTCTACCACTTACTAGCTGAGTAGTCAAAGCTCCATAATATTTGCTAAAAACCTAGGATGTTAGCACCTTAAACGGGCCTCAGTAAATTGAAATGAACAACTTGCAACTTTGGAAGCAGTTACCTTCCATAGCGATTTGCCACAAAGGGAAGTCTTAATCCCTGCTATCAGAGCCCCATCTAAACAGTGAATCAGCACAATCCACAAAGTGCGAAATAAACCTGACATGTTTGGCATGACTCATGAACTTTGTAACTATAAATTAGGCTACTGTTTTATCTTCCAAGCTTTCTGTGCAATTAAAGCAGGTTTTGAATTTCTAATCAAATTCTGTATCTAGCTTTGGGTTTTACTGTCAAAGTTTTGCCCAGCTTCTTATATGAGCTGACACCTTCTTCTGGATTTTAGCTTCTCTACTTGTACAGGCTTTCTTCTGTAATGTTTCTGACACCAGTTACCAAATGTGATTGAAACACTTCATAATAGATTTTCATTTTTTGCTATAATATACAGTAGAGGCATCTAGGAAAAAACAAGTCCAAGTATAATCATTTGTTTTTAGTTTTACTGCCACTTGCTTTATATGGTCTTAATTTTCCTTTCCTATCTGTCTTTTTTTTTTTTTAAATCTCAGTAGTAATGGGAAGGCTGGTGGTTGGAGATGATAGATGTTCTGTTCCAGGTTCCTTACAAGGGAAGATACAAAGCTATGAAATCATGTATATACAACAGCCTTTTCCGCATAAGGCATTTTCTTTTCTATTTCTTTATCAGGGACTGATGAAAATAAAATAAAAATCTGGGTGACACAAATGTGTTTACTCTCTCTACTAACCAAGAGGTTGGTGGTTCGAACCCATCCAGGAGAAAGGCCTGGGAGTCAGCTTCCCTAAAGATTACAGCCAAGAAAACCCTCTGGACCTCAGTTCTACTCTGTAATTTATGGGGTCACCATGAGTTGGAATCCACTGGTGGGCAATGGGTTTGGTTTTATGCAGCTATAACTGGCATACATTTAAAGCATACAATTTGATATGCTGACACATGAAACATAAGATAGTGACATATCCAAGTTTTTTCCTGCACCTTTCTAATCCTCTCCTTTGACTCCCCACATCTCATCTCCCAGGCAACTAGTGATCTGCTGTCAGTACAGATTATCTACATTTCTAGAGTTCTAACATTCATATTTATAATATTCACAGACTATTTGGCTTGTTTCCAGTTTTTGGCTATTAAAAATAACACTTATATAAACATTCCTGTACAAGTCTTTGCATGGACATAAGCTTTCGTTTCTTTTGAAATGAGAAGGAGTGGAATGGCTGGATCAGAAGATATACGAATGGAAAATAAGCACATGAAAAGATTCTCAGCATCATTTGTCATTAGGGAAATGCACATTAAAACCACCATGAAATATCTCTATACACTTAAATGACTAAAATTAAAAATATTGACCATACCAAGAGTTGATAAGGATGTGGAATAGCTTGAACTCTGCCCACTGCTACTGCAAATGTAAAATGGTACAATCATTTTGGTTAACAATTTGGCAGTTTCTTAAAAAGTTACACATAAACTTTCCACAGGGTTTTAAAGGAAGACTTTCTCTGCCTATCTGGAGAAACAAATGAACAAGACGCTATTCAAACGCTTTTTCCCCCAGAAAATCAGACATTTTTCAACATGTGTATAACATAATACAGTCTATTGAAAGCCTGTGTCATAGTCTTTGATCTCTTTTCAGATATTTTTTTAAAAAATATTGTCTTTGATGAAGATGACGTTTTGTCATAATAAGCTATGTACATGAGTCAAATGACAAACAAATTCAGAGTAGATATAATTGTATGGAAACATGTAGACCATCTGTGAAGGGCTTCAGGAATCCCAATCCTGAAGGAAGAGATTTCACTTTACATAAAGCAGGCCTCTGCTCCCACCTCTTGCTGAAATATGTCCTTCAAAATGCTAGACACATGCTGAGTGAAATAAGTCAATCACAAAAGGACAAATATTGTAGGAGACCTCTATTGTAAAAACCCATGAAAAAGTTCACACACAAAATGTAACAATCTTCGTTGGTTACCAGAGATGGGAGGGGTGGGGGGGA